ACTCGATCCTAACACTTTCGTTTAGCACTTATGTGCAAATCATTTACCTTGCATTCTCATTTGACATACATTGGGAAAAGTTGATATTTTGGAAAATACTGATTGATGGGTATGACAGGCATACTAAATATTGTTTCACGGGTTGTGTGAAAGAAACTTGGTTTACCAAGTCAGTTTTATGTATTATTATGATTTATACGATTAAATTCATATTTTGGTATTTTATGATATACTTATATTTTGGTTACACCTCATTTATATTATTATGCCTCACTAAGTGAATACTTAGCATGTGATGGTTTCACGCGTAAGTAATAACGTACAATCGGAGTAAGGAGTACAGTTGACATCGTAAATCAAAGGTTGCCTCATCAGTAATTGTATGACCTCTATGTCTACTTTTGATATCACTAGATGGCATGTAATAGTTATATGATGATGCTTTGATATGTATTTGACATACGGGTTATAGTATTTACTACGTTCGAACTTTAAGGTTATTTTACATACTATTAGTTAATGAACGTTTTTATTATTATTACATTAAAATGTTTTATTTAAAGAAATAAAATTTTACTGGTTTTCAAGGACGAAAATGTTTTAAAAGTCATGTGACATTTGTGATTCATGTACGGGGACTTATACGAGACATGAGTGTTACATATGCACTCCTCAATTCATCCAATAAACGTAAGAGGAAGCCCGAACACAACGAAAATAACAATAAGAAACCCCAATAAATAGAATCGAAATCTTTATGTAATCAATCTTAAGGATAGATCTTCTATGGGTAAAAGTTCTTTAACTACTAGAGACAATCTCTATAGGTACAACTTAAGCCTCCTAACATAATATGAGTAATACACTTATACACCATCGGCAATAAGAGATTGACCGAAAATCACCTGTATGATTAGGGTTTATAACCTTCTGAACAGCACCAAGGTAGTAGCATTAAAAAACTGGCAACATACTGAATAGTAAAAAAATCATGTGACAACACGGCAAGATCCTGACCCACAGTGTTCCAAGCAACTTTAAAAAATTGGAAGTGTACCCATCAGACCCATGATCTTATCTGACCCCTGTTTAAACAGACCTGTTTGACCTTATCCTTCGAAATCTCCTCTGCAAAGCCAACTTATCATCCTCAAAAAAAGTAAACCCAAGAAGCTCTTAAGAAAATCCACAGGACACCTAGTAACCGAGGCATCCTTAGCCCCAAGGAGTCCCCGTAAAACCGAATGACCTCAACCGCAATAATATTAAAATCTTCCAACAATCGCCCATTATCATCAGTGATAGTTCGGTTGGAGCGCTTATTTTGTATAGTAGAGATCATGGAGTAGAAGAACATTGAATTCTGATCCTTCTCCTGGATCCAAAGGATCCTAGACTTCTGTTGAAAGAAACTTTCCTCGGTATCCTCCAAGCCCTGCAACTCGGCAACCAAGATTTTCTCCTTCTCAAGCAGATCAGGGTTGGGACTCCAGCTAAACATCCAACTGCACCTTATTCGACTCAATTCGTTTATCCTTGACACGTGCACTTAAATTGTCATACCTACCAGTGTCAAGTTTTTTCAGAGCGAGCTTGAGGCACTTAAGTTTCAAGAACAAGCTCTCTATAGGATTACGAGCAGAGATGCTCTCCCCCCAACTGTTAGATATTGTCATAACAATTTTTTTAAACAATTAAATATTATTTTAAAAGCGATTATGACTTTAATTTAAAAAAATTGGAGATTTTGGATTGATTTGAATACAATAGAAAGGGAGTCTCCATTGACCTTTGGATTATGTAGGTCGAATACCTAAAAACTTCTTTTAAAACAATTTAAAGGAAAAACATTTTTTAAGAAGAAAATTGGTCTTCCTTTACCAAAGATTTGTTTTAAAAGGATTCGAGAGTCGGTTACGTGTGGGGAAGGGTAAACACCCCCAAAGCGCCAAAAAACTGGTACTGAATCGCTTACACGTTATTGTAAATGGTGAAAATTACAAATCAAATATAAAGTTAAAATATGATTCATTTATCAAACATTGATTAATTTGCTTCGAATTAAATAATTAGAGAAAATTCTTTAACTCGAAAAAGAAATATCAAAATTAGCAATCCTCCGTCGGGAAAGCTAACTCGAATATTTCTTATCAGTTAAAGAATATTCCCTCATCATTGATATTAAAAAACGCGAATCAAATATAAAATGGAGAATCGACATTTGCGTGAAATAAATTGTTATTTAGAGAAACATGCAATGCGTTGTTCGATTTAAAACACGAAATGAATTTATTAACAAAATAAAGTTGATTTCAAGTTCATATTTTGTTAAAAAGCTGTATCGGATCACATCACTTCAACCAAGTGAAGCTTTCCACGTTCATTCTACAAATCGGTGTTCTTGAAAAACATTTGAAATAAAATATTTACAGTAAAATAGAACCAAACATATCCATTCATTTAATTACAATACATATGAAATATATGCATATGTAAAAAGAATCAATCATAACAAGTAAATATTACATATCAAATTACAAATAACAAAAATAGACACATTCGGTAATATAAGGGACTAAAATGACATTAACAGAAACTTAAAGGAATAAAATAGCAAAAAACAAGAAACTTAAAGAACTAAAATAGCTAAAACAGAAAGTTAAAGGACTAAAATATCAAAACAGAAAGTTAAAAGGCTGAACTATAAAATAAAAATAAACCAAACTCCCAGAATTAAAAATATTAAATAGTACAGGCACTAGAAATGAAAATAATCCAAAATAATGTTAGGGACCAAAATGCAATAAACCAGAAACATGACAGGTCAAATATAAGTAAACAAATATATAACAGTGACTAAAATAAAAGATTTACAAATACCAAGATCAAATTCGAATATCAAGAAAAATAAATAACACCTGAAATCAGTGACTAAAATGAACTATCATGAAAAATGTACTACATAAATATAAATAAACTAAAGTACAATGATCTGGGCTCAAATATAAACACAAAAGCATTTAAAAGCAATAAAGGACGAAATTACAACAAAAATAAAATAGGAGCTGGAAATAAATGGAAATAAAAATTTCATTGACTTGTGAAAACAGAAATTTTACGAAATACAGGGACCAAATGTGGTATTAACTCCAAATACACAAAACACAGGTAAAATTACACAACAACAGGGATCAAATCTACAATTATACCATTTTTTGGAAGTGTTGACTCCCTTGGTCAAGCGGCGAAGTTTCACGTGTGGGTTATAAGACCCCATTAAGGGTTTTAAAACCCTATATTCTCATTTCAAATCCCCTATCTCAGTCGATCGTTCCCTATTCTCCCTCTTTCCCTTCTTTCCTTCTTACTTCCTCGTCACTGAGAAGAACATAACACTAATGGCTACCTGGCCACCGTAGATCGGTGGCCACAAGGAGCAGTCAAACCCCAAAGACCCTAGTTTATGACCCTAAGAGGGTCCAGAAAAGGTAAAATCTCACCATCTACTCTTCGTTTTTTTTTCTTTTATGTTCTCATTTCCTTTTTTTCTTTTCAAAACCTCAAATGAATCCACTCCCTCTTTTTTTCTGATTTGATTTGTTTTCTTTGTGAAATCCCCCTCTTATTTTTTTTTCCCAGTATTTATTTTTGGTTGCTTCTCTATCTTCTCTCCTCTGCCCCAAATGGTTGTTGCATGTGCGTTTTAACGTTGCCTTTTGGGTGAGATGATGAGGTCTAGGATGCAGAAGAATGGTGGGTTGTTGAATTTGGATTTTTTAGGGTTTAAGGTAAATGTTTGGTTGGATATTCACTGTTGATGAAAATTTGGTTGATGTTGATGTTTTGATTGATTACTTGGTTTGGTTCACTATAGATGGGGTGAGGCGGTTGACATGGTGGTCGGATCGTCGGGAACGAGCTGGAACAACAGCAGCTCGACGATTGGTGAGTTGGAAAGCTAAGAGGCGGCGGTGGCTGAATTAGGGTTTAAAACCCTAATATGTTTTAGGTTCAATCCTGGGCCGGTTCGGGTCAGGCGTTGGGTCACTGGATCCTCAAGTCGGGTCTAGATCTGAGTCTTGATTAGCTGCTGATGGGTTACTAAGTCGGGTCTGGGTTAGTGTAATGTTGGGTCACTGGTGTTGGGCTTGTTGTAATCCGTTTGGGCTTGTAGTGGCCTGAAAAAGTTGTAAATTAATTAATTAATAATAATAATAATATTTTTGGTAGGCCCGAAAAAAAGAGGGTGTCTACAGATACTATATTGAGAAACTTAATTTATAAATATTATTATTAATAATATTAATATTTATATGTTGTTTTCAAAAGGTTGTAGTAAATTTTTTTCATGTATTTAATATTTAAATTTGAACTAAAATTGAAGTTGAATATGAACTTTAATCGAATTAAGTCTGAGTTCAAGTCTTCGCACTCGAATCAAATTTTAAATTTTGCTTTCAAATTATAATCAAACTTGGTAATTTAAGCTCGTAAAGTTACGAATCGAGTCTTAATTTCAAAAAAAATTTTGAGTTGAGTATTGGGCAAATATTTTGAGTTGAGTATTGGACTCGAGCTTGACTTATTTACGGTCTTAGCTACAAGGATGAGTACGCAAATCTCAAAACTCCATACTGGTCAATTGCCCAGCTATAATGCACTGATAAGTAATGACTTCCATGTGTTTGAACTATGACTGCTGTAAGACTGGCAGCCATTGACTTGCTTTAATGCCACCATCATAGTAACCTGGTTTTATGTTGTAATTCAAGGTAAGGTAATAAAAAAATCACGTGGTTAAAGATTTTAGCTGTAATTACTCTGGGAAAATCACATGCTAGATACAAGCTTGAGATGCATTTAGAAAGGTCTCACATGGCGATTGCTTCATGTGATCGAATCAAGTCGATAAAAAATTGAAATTTATCATCGAATATATGAGTATCATTTTATCATTTAAATCAAAATTATCGCTCAACAACATGATCTTTAAGGAAACTACACAAAAACTTGAAAAAGGCAACAATTTATCTCCTTGTAAACAAAGATCAACAAGGAGCTAGTCATGAAAATATATCAAACTCCGTATGATAACAACTATATTAACAAATCATCATCAATCATTCTTCCTCAAAGGGAGGTTAGTTATATTCACGTACATCGGCCGAGGACAACGACCGCCACGGTGACGATGCGGTCGTTCTCATTTGCGGGTGCAACGGAGGTAACCGGGGGCTCGAAGTCGATGAAGAATCTTCGCCTGTGCTTGAAAAGCCATCGGTTTCGGAGCTATTCATTGCAACGGCAAGTGCCAATGAGCTTTTGCTTGAACTTATTGGTCGAATGAGTCTTTTGCTCCTGTTTTTGTCCCATATATGGTTGATTGCTAATAGGTTTCGTCTTCTTCTCGTGTAGGCAGTCTCGGGCTTTGCTATGTCTTTAATGGAGGAAACTGAGTTCGCTTCTGCTAAACTCGTGTATGACCTCGATTTTCCATTGTAGAAACTCGATATGCTTCTTCTGTTGAATTCAAAAACAAAAACCCAGATTTTATTTCAGCTTGTTAATCGATCAAAGTTGATAAAAAAAAGAAGGATTCGCTTTGTTTACCTCATGGGCAGAACCTGTTCGATGGAATTCATCCTATCTAAAGGACCTTTATAAGAGCTTTGAACCTCGTTTTCCTCGCAATCTACTCCGTCCGATGATCTCCCAGAGTCGTCGTCATCGCTATTCCTCCCGATCGAAGACGTCGTCGTCGTGGAGGATGAACCTCCCCAGTCTTCTTCTTCCTCCGCCTTCGACAACCACTTTACTTCCTTCACCGTAGACGGCGGGGATTCGAAACTAGAAATATCGCAGGCACATCTCATCACGCGCCCAAACCCCGATGTTTCGATCCTGTCCAACACGATCGACATGATTGAATCTTTAACCTTTCGCCACCCAAAACAGCAAACCAAAAAGGGAAAAAAAAAAACTCAGAGAGAAAGGGAATCCAACGCAGATTTGAAATAAGGGGATGAAATGGATATGGGGAATTGTTTGTCTGTTATTGTTAATTATATATTTATATATATAAATAAATGTTGGGGATTGAATTGAATAATGGCAACTGGGGACTCTTATCCTCATCCACTCATTGTCAGTGACATTTTTATTTTTTAATTTGTTAATTATCTTTTACTCTTTTTGAGCTTTAAATTTTTTTCTTATCTAAAATTCGATTTGATTTTAAAATAAAAAAATATTTTTATTTTAAATAATATACATAATTTTATTTTTAATTAATAAAATCAAATAAAAATATAAAATATAAAAATAAAATATTATTATAATTATTTTTAAATAGATAATTATATTATTATTCTGAATTATATTGACTCTAACAATTTTCACTTTAAAATCAAATTTAATCTGACTAAAATTTAATATTTTTTTTAAAAATTGACCCTATAAAATTAAGTCGAATCTAAATCACACGTTCATATGTAGATACTACACAGGTCATTGAATTATGGTAGACATTAAATGTACCAAATTATTATAAAATGGCTATTATTATATTTATTTTGAATAATCTAGATTATTAAAAGGTAATATTTATTAATAATTTTTTAACCATTAATATAACACACTGTATAAATGTATAGCTTGAAATTAGGATTTAATATATAATTTAAAGAAATTTTTTTATTTTTTAAAAGTTTAATGACCAAAGAACATAGTTCAATGACCTACTATATAATTTATCTTGGCTTTATGATGCAAATTTATTTATTTAAGTAATATTCGAACTTCAAGTTTATATTATTTAAGAATGAGTTAAGATCTATTTGTATATTATATTTTTTTTTACACAGATTTAAGATCATTAGATGAATAAAAATAAAAAATAAAAATAATTTTTATTTTTATTCGGTAAATATCTTATCATTTCATACGATTAATCTCAATTATCTATTTTTTTATTAAACTATCTTAAATTTGTACAAAACTAAAAATATTTTATAATGTATACTTATATTTTATCCCTTAATATATATATATATATATATATATATATACTAATAAAAAAGTAATATATACATATATCGGATAATAAGATTTTAATTTTATGAAATTAATTAGTATTAATTAAGTCTTTTGGGAGCAGGCGTAAAGGGCTACCTATCCATAAAGTGTAAAGGGGATGGTCAAATTTGATTTTGGTACCTTCACTATCCTTGAAATTATATTTTATCCATGTACTTTAATTTCATAAAAATATAATTGTAAAAGGAGTGTTTAAAATGAATTTTACGTCTATACAATTAAAAAAAACTAGTTAATATATTAGTACATTTAAAATTATAACAAAACTCGGAATAAAAGTTCACACGTGTATAAATTACTCTCGACGATACTTGAACATGTACATTTAAAGTTTCGATACACCATTCCACACATTAGTATTTTAATCAAGATAACTAATGGAATTAGGTTTTTTTTTCATCTAACTAAAGATGCTATACACATAGATGTTCAGATTAAAGTAGGATGACTAAATCTTGAATTAGACAAGTGTAAACGTACCAAAACTACAATTTGACCCAGAAAATATTGGTGATAAAACCAGAAGTTCGAAACAATTAACCGCGATTAGTTTAGTGGAGGGAAGGACAGTTGGTGAAGTGAGTGCCACGTGGTGGATACGGATATGTATGACGTGGCTATGACGGAGGATCTCTTGCCTCGTTGGGTCCGGTAAGTCTTATCCATATTTGTGGCACCACGCATTTAACTTAATTTAATTTAAATATTTATGTGTTAGGAAGGGATTGGATAAGATCTTTGTCTCCACTTTTGTCTAATCTTCTACTTTTTATCAAGAATAAATGCAATCAATGCACCAATTAATTATCGATTAAATATCAATTTTTATGTGTAAAAATATTTTTATACTTTTTATAAAACGATTAAAATTAAGTCATATTTATATTGTGGTTGTCTAAATCGATTTACAAGGATGAATTTACAAATATATTTTAAGGTGAAGATGTACGTCTTAACAATATAAAATTTTTAAATAGAATAAATATAAATAAAAATTTAAGATAAATATTATTAGTAAAACAAACAATTAATCAAAAAAAATTAAATTTAAGAATACGAAGTCTTTCACCCTCTATAGATATGCCATTGTATCCATATTCATATTAACTTGTATTATAGACATGTAAATAAATATATTCTTTTGGACACTATATGAAAAAATTAGTTAGTTAATGTTTTAGATAAAATGTTTTTCTCATGTAAAATGAGATAATTATTTTCTCATTTAGAGTGAATGATATAGTGCTCCATAAAAAATACTTAATAAACCGTAGTTTTTGGAAGACATCGAAAAAAAAACAAGATGTTTTTACATTCTTTCGAGAGGAAACAATTTTATGAACATATATGAAGTTTGAAGAAGACATCGTGTCTTCTGAGAATCATTAAAAAATACTCATATCTTCTACACTTCTTTTATATAGTATTCACTCTAAATGAAAAATTAATCACCTTAATATATTATATATAAAATTATTTTTTAAGTATTATTTAAATAATTTTACCCTTCTTATAAATTTTATTTTATTCATTGATCTTTATTTCTCTTTTTTTTATTAAATAAAAGTAATAACTATTAACAACTTCCTATTATAAAATATATTCCTCAATTTTAAATTAACACATTATAATTAAACTAAAATCGTACCTATATAAAGAAAATTTTATATCGAATTATTCAAAATGATGTTTACAGCTAAGATGAATCTTAAATCAAAGAAATTGAATGGAATTTAATATGATTTTAATCGAAGAAATTAATCGTTGTTAAACACGAAGAGGTGGTTGGTGGGAGTCATCAAAGTGTCTATGTTTTGTCTCCCAACATTTAAACCTTTTGGTTCATTCTTTCCAACCAAACCACCATACACATTTACTCTACTAAACAATCAAATATCTTTATAGAGAGTAAAGTACATAAATAATCCTAAACTATAAAACATTATTTTATTGATTTCTTTGATTATTAAACCTACAAAAAAAAATTGTATATAGTTAGTCGAGAATAGACGATCCTACCATAATTCCCACTCACAATAAATGTGATCAACCGTTTGGCAATCAAAGAGGACGACCGCTGAAATCGATGACTAGTCAGATCATTCTAGTGGTGCAACAACTTTCCCATGAACGACATATCGCCTAAGAGTTGAAGATTAGGATACCCTTATGAGGGAGTCTCTTGTGTCTGATACTGGAATTGACGCGCATCTATCGGGAGATACTACAAACGCCCTTAATGATCATTCATTTGAGACCACTGGAGAAGATTTACATGAGAGTAAGCAGCATCAAGGTGGAGAAAACAATCAACCTGATCATTCAATTTCCCTCAATGGACTTGAAAATCAACTCCAAAAGATCTCCTTCTCGGATATGGTTAAAGGGTCAGTTCTTTACATTAAGAAATCAAACTCCATCAATGATCTGTACGTTGATGTTCAACAGGAGGATGTGATACTGGGCAATAATGGACGCATTCCTGGAATCAGATTCTCTGAATGAGTGCATGTTGCAATCGATGTCAAGCTTGCGAATTCGATTATTGTTAGATTATTTGGGAAATCTATCGGGTATAAAGCGTTGATGAATAGAATCAAGGCGTTATGGAACCCTTTAGGCAATCTAAATTTGATCGATCTAGATAATGAGTATTATCTCGTATGTTTTGCATTGGAAGATGACTTTAATCATGTTCTCACAGGAGGACCTTGGGTGATTAACGGAAGCTATTTGACGTTCAACCCCTCATGATTATGGTCTGGGTTCGACTACCAGGTTTGCCATACCGCTACTATACGCGAAATTTGTTTGGCCACATTGCAGGAGCTATTGGTAAGGTTGATAGAATCGATTTTAATACTGAGGATGAAAAACGAGGTCCGTTTGTGAGGCTTGCCATTGTTGTTGATTTGAATAAGTCACTTATATATGGTATTATCATCGATGGCCAGAGACAAACTATTGAATATGAAGGCTTACCGATGATCTGTTACACTAGTGGAAAATACGGTCATTCAAAAAAAGCAACGTGGGAAGGAAGGTATAACTAACAACAGAGTTACAAAGTATTGAACTAACTTTTGATTTTGATATAACATGAATTTTTAAATGATTTAATTTGTTAAAATTTGCATTTCACAATTTTATAAAAAAAAATCATAAACAATTTTAAAGTGTTTTTAAGTGTGAAAAATAATCATAAGTGTTCTTGAGTAATTTCACAAATTGCAAGTCTTGTTTCAAAGCTCAAAACACTTATATTTTAGCCAAAACCCCTCTCAGTCTCGAGACCAAAGTGCTAGTTTCGATACAAAAAGCTCAGAAGGCTTCTGAGTCTCGAGACCATGGTCCCAGTATCGAGACCGGTGGTTGAATATCGATACTCATTCAAACAGTATCGACACCAAGGGTTCAACGGCTATAAATATGACCGTTAGGATGCTCGGTCTTGATACCAACACCCTGGTACGATACCGATTGTACAGGTGAGCATTAAATGCTCAAAATTAATGATTTCAATGGCTCAAATCAATCCCCAACGGCTCCAAACGGCTAGATTGATGTTAGAAGACATAAAAGGGACCAAGATTTAAATGGAGAATAACAAGAAACAAAATTAGAAGATCAAACCAACATTAATAGAGTTTTAGAGCAAAAATTGTCAAATTCATTTGTAACGCACTTGTGAGCTACAATTGTTAAATTTGCTTAAGTGTGATTTTTTTGTGAGTGCTTAATTTGTGCAAACATGTTTTCCATTGTGAGGTTTTTATTTTGTTTGCTAAATTTGTAATTACTCTTAGGGAGAGTGTGTATTCAAGGTTTTGGGGTATAAACCTTAAAGTGTTTGTAAGGTTACACAATTGTCCTTAAAGGTAAGGAAATCTAGTGGATTTGAGAAATCCTTATTGTAGATGCTAAGGTAGTGGATGTAGACTTT